AATAATAATAATAATATACTCTATGGTGGTAACCGCATCTTCAGCTGTCAGTCAGCTGTAGGTGGTGAAACCGATGTTATCGAATGGTGATATGCACTTAGTTCTAGTAAATGTCGAGTTTGTAATCTAATTCACACAGGCGTACATACATATAATACAATGCATCTGTACTACTAATAAAAGAATTCACAGAGAATTTTATTTGCGAAGCCTTGATAGCTTCACTGTTGGTGATGGCAAGTGGTGGATTTAGCTCGACAGGTCGGATGCTTCGCCGTCCAACACGGTAGCGCGAGAAGACTTGGTTTTGAATGTATTTAGATCGCATATGAGTGGTTAGTCGACAGAGTAAGCAACGCCTTGGGTGTATCCTTCAAGCTCTCTATGTCTACAAGGCTGGGTGGGGGATCCATGTTCTGACCTTGGTAGAAGGCTGCAAGCGCTAACAAAGTTGGCGCGATGGCATTGCTAAGTTTCCTCAAAAGCGGTCCCTGTTTTTTCTCTAACAACGTAGCAAATTCAGCAAGATCGTTCATGTTGATGTCAGAGAGCCTGTTTTGGTCAGCCAGGCTTCTGGTGTTGTGAAACATAGCATACTCACATGCGATCTGTCAAAGAGACGCCAGGAAAAGACGGCCCAGAAGGTAGGAGGACTAATACACCGATTCCAAAGCGCTTTGTCAATATCTGCAATCGTTTTCCTAATTGTCGGAAACGTTTGACTTTGTCGTAAACCGCCGAGTACTCGTCAGACGTGTTTTCAACATCTGGGGCAATCTTGGAAGTCAAAAACTTAATCTCAGCAGCTTCCTGCCGCATCTGGGGATTGCCTCTTTGCCGTGTGTTTCCAAGCCCAAAAGTTACTGCAGTTTCCACTTGCATGCTTTCGCGTGGCTGGGAAGACTGTTGTCCATCCTCAAGAAATTTTATCGCGTAATATCGTTTTAACAAGATGCAAGTAGTCCTCTCATTTTCGAGTCGACATATCATATTGAATGCCATGGAGGCAGCCGAATAGATAGCAGACGGTAAAGCAGGGGAGTGCCGCGCCTCCCTAACGCTTTGAAGCTGACTGGCGAAGTCGGCAAGGGTATTCCAGCTGCCGATTGCTAGATACAAAAACTTGAGTACATGAAATGGGTCCCTAAGCTGAGCAGTCTGGGGATACTCCAGATGTCCTAGTAGTTTGGCGCGCTCTGATTGTGAACATAAACCGATCTTCTGTCGCTCCGCATCTAGCAATGACTCCAGCGCTGCATCGACCCTACCTCTCTCTGTTTGGGCTCGTTTATTCTTCTTCTCTAAAGATCCTATATCCTGCGTTCCTACTGAGTCCTCAGGCTCTCGGCCGGGCAAGGCCCGTTTCAACGTTGCAGTGATGGATCCGCTACTATCAGCCTCCCCAGGCGTTATGGATTCTATAACTCTTTCCTGCTCAACCAAAAAAACAGGTTGTACACGCACACCTTGTGTTTCATTCAATAAAGAACCAACGATGTTTCCATGGCCATGATTCTGGTTAACATATTCCACAGTTTCATATTCTGGAAAAGGTTGTTGCTCCAGAAAAAACCGCTGGGGCGACGATTGTTCGGTTACTAGGTCGTGATGTTCTTCCAAGACCGACAGTGGTGAAAACACAGAAAAATCTTCGTATATCTCAAGGTTGGCTGAACATTCTCTCACATCCAAGTCGTTTACTACATTTCCCTCTGGTGTTTCGTGCGTCACTAGTCTGGGTGAAAAGATTGATACGTTACTCTCAGCGACAAGAGACACATTTTGATCCTCGTTAGCGGTTGTCGATGAACCGACGGAGCTATCAATTTGGCCCAAGATTCTTGAAATGGTGTTGCATGAGTCCTTGATGCTTCTGTTCTGATCTTGACAGTCAAGCCAGACAGCACCGATCACAGCATTCAGTGCGAAGTTCAGCACTTCCACAGAAAGCTCTTGCCCGGTCTGTCGAGCACTCCGGACGATATGGGGCTCAATGTCCAAAAATTTGCATGCCGTTGCCACTTTTTTCTTATCCTTCCACCAATAGTTACGACGATTGATATCGGCTGCATGAATTAAGATGTGTTCATCTATGGTTTTGGAAGAATACTTACTTAAGTGCGCTTTCTCGACTAGAACAGCATAGGAGGTTTCTGCCATCTCAACAGCTATCTGCCCGATCCGAGCCATTCCCCGATTACCGTCGCTTGCAAAACCGTCCTTTTCGCTTCTGTGGGCTGCGAAAAAAGCATCAATAAGATACTTTTCGTGTGTGAAACCATAGCCTATCTTGACTTGGACAGATTCCATGATTCTCCAAAGTTGTCAGATTGTGAAAAATTCAGAGAATTATAACGTTAGACGGCTTGTGGAATGCTCATGTGTTAGTATCCATCCCGTGTTGTACCCTTGTATTCAGGCATAAGTGTCGTACGCCAATCTAATGTCAAGCCGCGAGACAGGCGAAATGCAAGCCATCGCATAGGTATTTTTCTCAGTTGGTCCATTTTAGAAAAAATCAGCTGTCATCGACGCTTACCTGACACGGGGGTTCCGACATTGCTCGCTCATAACTGGCTGCATAGACCCTAGTGTAGCTATGACTTACTGATGCTACGCTCCCATTCCATACCCCACCAACAAAGAAATTTTCTGATTGGTTACCGAGATTGTTGTCTCTGTAAGCTTTTATCTGTCGACCTCATCGATATAGCAGGTGCAGATTTAGACTCATCGTAGGAAAAGCAGCACCGCGAGACTCAGTGGCTGTCCAAGTTATGACAGATCACGTCATGATCAGTAGGCACGCGGTTCAAATGCTAGTGATTACGATATTCACCAGGTAATCATGTTTATAGCAGATTTGAAGTCATCTTTCAATGTTCGTCACCAATCCAGAACATGACATTGAAGAACATAGGGTTTCCCAATCTATCGAGATTGTCCGCTCGGGAAAGTTGCACCCTCGAACAGTCGTCTCCTTAGTAGATCTCCGATTTCGCCTTGCAATCATCGCAGTGTGCGAATAATGCAGTACCTGATAACAAAGCCGGAGCAAAGGCCCGATGGTCTAATCACTGAGATCTTGTGACGCCATCACAAATCCTACCTTTTGGCTGATCGCCAAGCATCGCTCTTCCAATGAGTGTTCAGCTGGAGGACCCCATAATGTTCAGCCTGAGGATCCCGAGGTCGTAGGAATTTTTTGGCGTTAGGAGTGTATACATGGCATGCCCTTATTTGTCATTTTCTCTTAATACCTCACTTAAAGTTCGTATGAAGACTTGGAAAGGAAGCCAGCGCTTTGATCTGACATGTGTTACTGCGCCACTGAAGGTCTAGCAAGCCACAGTTACACAACAGCATTCTGCATGCATACATCAATGCATGCTGCGATTATCGCCGATGTAATACTTGGATGGCTCGTGAACATTGGTGACGCCAAGATCCAAGCTGCAGTATATCATAATAGTCTGACGATTATCGGCTTATCTTGCAGTAGCGATGTAGCAGTAGAGGCAGGAAACATTCTGATGGTTTCTGTGCCCTGCCACGCAGGGCTAGTAAAGGGGTAAATTCAACGGTCACATGCTATTGGCCACATGCAAAATGTTTAGATAATGTGGATTATGATAACTAAGCACTTGCAGAAGCTCGTCTATGAATTTTTTGGTTGAATGTTGGCAACTCAAGGCACTCACCAGGGGTGACGGGCCTCTGAGATCGTGCGTGGATTTACATTGGCGGTCTTAGTGATAGAAAATTTGCCCGCTCCAGTCTGACAAAAAGCGACTATTCCATGCCGAACAAAAGCTACTAATCGAGGCTAGCAAGGACCCTCTATCGCTAGCCTTTCTTCTAAACACGAGCACAGGCATACAGGCTACAATTGCCTTTATTGAAGAAACGAAGGCTGC